TGAGCTGTTGTTCAGCATCTTAGCTGTAGAGGGCAGTGTCACTGGCCCTCACATGTGGGATCCGAACCGGGGCACTCTGGCATCCCAAGCCAGTTCTTAACCATCGCGCCACTCGGCCGGCCCAAGTTTCAATTCTGAATCTATAAAATAACCATAATGATATTTGTGTACCACTGTCATCACAAGATTAGGGAAGATCAGCCTGAAAACTACCAGGAAGAATTCAGACCTCTACAAATGAAAAGTAAATTACAACAACGAGCAACAGAATGCATTAAAAAGAGTAGCAGACTAGGCATGAGTCAGAAGATCTGAAATCTAGTAGCAGCCACCAGTTCTGCCTGTTAATAGCTATGAGATGTGAGCAAATTATTCCTGTTCTCTGATAAATTGTTGCAAGGATCAAATGCAATTCTGAAGCAGAAACCACTTTAAAAACTAAAAGGCACTCTTAAAGTTGAAACTTTTTATAACTAAAGGACACTAGAAAGTCTAAAATATATAAACTCTTAAGAAATATGAAGTTATATAAATTATTAAGAAATGTACATAAATTATTAAGACAACATTAAACAATAGCCTAAGGAGAAATAAAACTGCCCAGAAAAACTACAAAACTGGATACGGTGAAGGCCAACGGATGAGTCTCAGAAAGAAGCAACTAGATGAGGTAGATAAACTGCAGTCATAAGGGAAGACAGAAACAACTGTTGGGAAAAAAACAGGTATACTGACAATGTGGGTAGAAAACAAAGCCAGCTTGAGATTTTACCACAATCATATTACCAAGTCTTGTCAAAATGGCACAAGGTGTTACCCATTACAGAAAATCCATTTTCTTTTCCTGAACTTCAGTGTCCCTGTCCAATAACTATATTCCAGGAACAAGTCCCACTCCACAGAGCTTCAGTTTTCCCGGCCACCTATAATGCAGCTTCTCAGGCTTCCTAGCCCCTGTGGGGTGCACATCACCCTTTACCAAAATCCACTATTCTGACTCTAAAACAAAAAACGCTGACCGTATCATGCTGAAACATTCTGAAATGAGAAACAAAATAAAAGGGGCAATTACAAGCTTAAAAAAAATATGATGAATCTTTTGAGAAGATTTAATATCTCTGACTACTTTTATTAAGTAATAATGTATTTCTCCAGTATTTTTAAAAATATGGTTTTTCTCACCATGAGCTACTTAGCATGATTCCAGCCGAAAAGATCTTTGTTATTTCAGTTAAGCTGTGCATTTTTTTGTGAGTAAACAAAGGATTTTGATTTTATTTTCGTTTGTAGACTTGACTCGTCAGATTGTTAAAAGATACGAACTAAAGAAGGAGGTCAGAGTTAGTGCTGGGGAGACTCAACCCCAGGAGAACCCTGCCAAACACAGTTAAGAACAAAGGAAGGAAACGACCAAGGGGAAAGGTCGCCAATGGTGGAAAACACGGTAAGATATTGACCAGTGACTGCTAAACACAGACAAGATCACTCAACTCTCATTTCTCCTTCACCACCTAGAAGAATTATCTATCTTGAAAAGGGAGAAGACTCATCAAGAGGAAATGATGGCTTCTTCCCCACTCCTCATCTTTCTTCCACGTGAAGGAATCTTCGCTCGCACAAGATCCCTCGCCTCTCTCTGCTGTTTCATGTACGCTACTCCATAGAAGAGGCAGACACTTGTCTATCTTTTCAGTCTTCCTGGTGACTGTGAAAATAAATTTGACATGGTAGCCCTTTCTTTTCTTTTTCTCATGGAAGTAAAGCTGCCTTTGGGAGATACCTGCTTCTCTAGACGTTTTAAGAGACACATTCTGTCCCCATGGAGTAAAGTTTCTTAATTCTGGAGATCGTGTTTAAAATCCTACCTGTCTGTGGATATAAACTACATTATCCAGTATCAGCTTTATCAATATAAATGTTACTGACTCCCATCTGCCTATTCTTTTGCTTATCTTTTCATTTTGTTCAGAAGATGGGTAAGAGAAAAGAGTGCTATTTATTGAACCCCAAGGTCCATACAGTTGTAGAGATCCTAACTACTTTAATTGAGCTTAAGATTCCAGGCCAAATGGATTACATTCCAGAATACTGAAACAATTTAGGTGTACACCATTGCTAACATTTTCTAGATCAAAATGAGTAGGAGAGAGGCCATAACATTGGACATATCAAGTGTTTTCCAGGTTTTCAAAACTGAAAAAGATAGATTTTAGAGAATTAGTGAAGAGTTTGAAGTCATTCCTTGAGAAAATTCTAGAACACATTATTGAGCACATAACTGATAAGTATTTAACAGCATGGAATTACTATACGTACCATTACTATATATCATATATACAGTACTATACCATGTGTGTAGATTATTATAATGGAAGATTGTGGAATGTGATCAACATTGACTTCAACTAAGCCTTTGATCAAGAGTCTTGTAATGTGGACAAGACAAAGAATGTAGGTCGGATAATAGTCAAGTTAGGGAAATTCTCTGCTACGTAATGACAATCCTAATTCATGGAGATTTAGCACTCTATTGCGGCGGGAGGCCTAATGGCTCTATTCTTTGATCTGTGCCTAATCAATCATTTGTATAAAGATTTAAAAGGCATGTTTTCTAAATGTATTGGTGCTGGCTGGGAGAGATGCTGATGAAAAAAAGCAGAATGCAAACTTATTTCAAAATTATGAAAAGAATAGGATACAAACCTAGAAGAGTATCCCTTCTAAATCTAAATCCTAAATATTGTAAATGTCTTCCTGTGGCAGTCACTTAATTGTCGTAAGAACTAATCATGTAGGCGTTTTACCATGTATATGAAACTGACTGTAACCTATCAATGATTTAACATGACACTCTTCCTTGACACTAGATATTATTAAACTGATTTTAAAATATCACAATGTAACTACATTTACCTAGTAAATAAATACAGAGAATAGGCCACACTGGACATCTTCCGTCCGCATCGAACAATCTCGGTCTCCTGATTCTCCCACTTCTCGATCTCGCAGTTGGCATCAGAGGTGAGCAAACCCAGCTTAAGTCCAAGCTTTGCTATCCTGGCTTTCTCCTATAAAATATGCATTTTGATCACAACAATTTTGTTATTACTGATGTAAAAGGAAGATTAGAAGTTAGACTATCCCAAAGAAAAAGCTCTTACCTCAGCGTCAGGTTTGTCTGGCTTTAATGATTTCAGGTTTGCATTATTCTTCTGCGACAATAAAAAGATTAACATATCTTAAAAGCAGTACAGTTAATTGTGAGGACATACAACAGAACTAGAAAGCATAACAAAGCACCTGTAACAAAATTTTAATGTAAACATTTTCAGTCCATACTTAAACTATATTAAATTGTTTAAGTCTAACTAATAAAATAACTAATTACAAGTACTTGACTAGTGTGTGAGTTCAGCTTTGAACAGGTCATTAGAATTCTGGGGCCAGGGAAAGCACATCAGTGTCCCCGAAGGACTTAAAGACTTCAGCAGTTTTCTCAGAGTCCGGTTATTATACCACCAAACCTTCCTGGCCCCTCTGTTGAATTATTCTTATGAAATGATGTAATAAAATTAGCCACTTTATGTAGTCATCTATATGTTCCTAATGTTATGAGTCTGGAATTCAATTCCTTTAGCCAATCTTGCCCTTGGAGGCTAAATTTCAGCACCCTAGTTTCACTGACATCCTGACTCCCGCCCCTCTACCCAGGTTGTACAGGAGATAATACTTAGAATTTAGGGCTTAGTATTTGAACCAACATGTTTGATAGGCCTCTATTTATGAAACAGCAAATTTGCTCCTATGTAAGCTATTTGGAACTCAAACTATACCTCCCCTCGGAGAGAAGAAAACATTGTGTGGTAGTCATGTTACCAGGCTGGCCCATAGATGCCTATTTAACCAGAAGAATAGAAACCACTACCAATAGCAATGTTTCTTTGAAAAACATATTCAAAAGTTCTCTGGAGATGGCAGCCCAGAGTGGCCATTGCTCTCATGCTGCGAACTGGTGGGAGCTAGTAGGGGCAGGAGTTCCAGACAGCTGGGGCTAGTGGAGGTAAAGGGGCCAGAAGAGGCAGGGAGCCATTCTTTTTTTAGGAAACATTTATTTAAACAACACACACACACACACACACACACACTCACACTCACATGTACATAAAATATAAATTACAATAAAACATTCGTGTGCCTGTTTAGCTTAAGAAAAGATCATCACCAGTACCTCTGAGGTACATGTGTACCTGTTTTTTTATTTCCCTTATTATTACCACGAGTTGTCACTTGTTACCAGCTCTTGTCACTCATTTTACTGTCATACAGAACAACCTCAACTTTCCCTTTTTTTCTATCCCATAGTTTATAATTGCTCATTTAATGTAGCCGTTTTGAGATTTTCTAATACTGTTCACTATAGAAGAAATGGGAAAAGGTACAGGACAGAAAATAAATATAGGGGAACTATGACGTTACACACACACACACACACACACACACACACACACACACACACACAAATACAAGCTGCCTCTTATGTTCATTATAAAATAAATAGAGATTATCAGTGATCTCTTGAACTGGCTCTTCCTTGTAAAGTCAATCATCTGTATCTTCTTCCTTAATCTAGTAGACTATAAAGCAATTGGTAAGGGCTTTGAGACAGTTAAGAATGCCCTACTGATTTTTAGGGTTTATTTTATTTAGAAGTTTACACTCCAACTTGTTCTTTTAAGTTTAGGTGTGTTTTCATTATTTTTATTTTCACTTTTAGAAATTATTATTGAAGTGTTTAATGAAGACAGAAAGGGAATTGCCTGAAAAGATACTGAAACCTTTTTTTTTTTAATAATGTAACCAAGTTTGCCATCTAGTGGACACTATTTTGAAATGCAGTCAGATACATCAGTTTCAGTTATATAAAGCTATACATTTCAAGTCTCTAAATATAAATAGGAGGGCATATTTTCATTGAGGTAGGGAACATTAAGAAAGTTCTTAGCTTGCAGAAAATACCAACATGACCTTGTGAATTAGACCCAAGATACGAAGAACATAAAATGTCTTAAGATTATGACTTCTTATTAATCATAAAATCTGCTTCCTAGTCCCTCAGCCCTAAAATCCAACATGAATAATCAGAATAGTGGTTACATCTAGATTGCTATTCAGAATAACAACTCTGAACAATTAGCATTGAATATCGTGTTTTTAGTAATGTCGGTTATGGGGCGGGGTTGGGGGGCGGGTGTTAGCAACAGGCAGCAAGAGCATATTTGAATTCTGAACAAAAGCATTCTGAAATGTACAAAACTCCTCCACTTACCATTGGCTTTGGAAGTGAAAGGTAGCCATACTTCTCTCCTACAAATAACATATATAATTTAAAACACATGTTCTATTATTCACATTTTAATTTTAAAATACTATTAAGCAGGACTGTTAGTACATTAGTTTTTATAAACTTGTCTATTAATTATATATGATTCAGAAATAAAATTGTAATTTGATTGGTGAACATGAAGACTCACAGCTGTATCTCTGAGGGAGCTATGTTGGCCCATCTCCACCTCCTCCAACAAAACGGCAGAAGGGCACTATCTCACGGACATTTACTTACACTTACAACCAGTTTCACTCATAGTGGATTCTTTCGTAGCATCCTGCCTCTAATGAAACCAGATTCTTCTTTTTTCAGTACCCGTTACTGGTGCTTGCCTCCTTTTCTGTACGTACCAGACCAAGTCATTCACACCTAACCTCCTAATGTATTCTCCCAGTCGGAGAAGAGGACAACGCCAGTGTACAAGAGAGGAAGATGAACGAATGCAAATGACAGACGCTTGCCTGGGAATTAACACAGGGCAGGAAAGACGGAAAGGTGTAATGCCCACTTCATCCCTGTCCTTTCATCTTTCTAGCTTCTGGGTCACATATAAAGTCAGGCTACAATGGAAGCTAGAGTTTTTTAAAAGCTAGTTTGTTATATCTGGGATAAAAATTCAAGATGAGATTTAAGCAGTAATTGTTTCTTGATTTCAAGGAAAGTGTGCTCAGCTATAACATATTGGGTGGAACCATATAAAATTGCTGATATTCAACCACTTTGAAAAACAAAAAAGAGCCATTTCATACAGATCTGCCTAATAAAAGTAAATATAATGTAAAAACACTAAATCATGCCTTTTCTTATAGAATGACTATTTCATGAACAGGGCAAACCTGTTCATAACACATTTAAAATGTCATCTAAGTATGCTGTTGAATCTGGAATCCACTAGCCACATGTGTCAACCAACCAACTGAAACATGGCCAGTCTGAATTGAGATGTGCTGTAAGTGTAAAATGCATACTGAATTTTGAAGATGTAATATAAAGAAAAAAAATGTAAAAGATGTCACCAATTTTTAAATATTGATTATAAACTGAAATGATAATATTTTGGATATGTTGGGTTAAACAAAAATATTATTAATAAACAAGTTTTACCTGTTTCTTTTTAAATTTTTTCTGTGCCTCCTAGAAATTTTAAATTACATATGTGGCCTGCATTATATTTCTGTTGAACAGTGCGAATCTACAAGATGAACTGTCATTAAGGGTCAGCCCTAATGGTTCTTGGAACTATTAATAGCTTTATGATTCCAATCATTTCTTTGTAATGTCATAATTGTAAGGGAATTTTACTCATAGTTTTCTGGTCTCAGACTTGTGAGAGGAAAATAAAATTTTAAAGAGGAAGTGGTAATTTCCATGCCTTGTCTCCTAACCCTGATATAAAAAGTGCCTGATTTCGCTGTGAGGCGATTAACGTTTCTTCAGGTCACTCAGAACCTCAAATTTCACCATCTATCTTAATTAACAGTGTGAACCCCATACATAATACCCCTAAAAAGTGCTCTTCATTAGCTAGAGAAGAGGGCATAATCATTGCTTAAGTATAATTAATTAGCTTAGGTGAACAATCTTCTATTATCTATCCTTGTGATCCTCCATGGTGCCCGTGACCCTGAAATGTTCACATTTACTCTACAAAAGGAAAAAAAAAAAAAAAGCCAACAGTTTCAGTAGCTCTTATTTCTGCAAGGTACAACAGAGCTAAAGAAATCAGGAGGGGCCGGCCGAGTGGCGCGATGGTTAAGAACTGGCTTGGGACGCCAGAGGGCCCCGGTTCGGATCCCACATATGAGGGCCAGTGACACTGCCCTCTACAGCTAAGATGCTGAACAACAGCTCAACTTGGAGCTGAGCTGCCGTGAGTCACCAGCAACGGCATAGGCTGCAGCCCCTGTGGCAGTGGGTTGCCATGGGCTACCGTGTGTAGCCAGCAGCCGCAGTGAGCGGCTGTCCAGAAGCCGGCAACTGATCTGCCTCACCCGGGAAGAGCTCAATGATGGTGCCAACTTGCGCCAGTGAAGCAACGTCCTCCACAACTAGACAGAAGAACAAAATGACAGCAACTTGTCTGTTCCCCTTCCCCCAATTCCCCAGCGCTGTTCCCCTCCCCTAATTCCCCAATAAAATCTTACCAAAAAAAAATCAGGAGGTAGGGGGAAATAAATACACTAGAAAGAGAGCCCGTGTATAATCTGGTTTGCTACCATTACCGCTCACCAATTCTTCATCACCTGGCCGTTCCGATCCCTAGGGCCCTCTTTTAGTTACTGCATTTTGCTCCCTGTTCCCATCCTTCAGTGAGACTCAGAATACTTTACAAATATGAGGATAGTTGCAAAAGTGGTCATTCTTCAGATAGTTTTCCTCAAATGCCACGTAGGCAAGGTTGGCCCTCTTTCCCCAATTCTAGTACAAACCAAGAAAGTTAATAAAATATCAAAAAAGATGCATCTGAATTATTTTATAGTTAATTTTGTAGTTGTTTCTTCCATACAAGTCTATTGCTATTGATTCTAAGCACAGCAAGAATGCAGTTACTCAATTATGTTTAGCTATTATATCAACTTAAAGAGGTAGTATAAACAAATAATTTCTGTCTCTGATGAGAACACATTATAAACATTAGAAGTAATTGGGAAAACAGGACTATTTGGGGAAAATATACTTGGTTCAGGTATTTGATTTATAGAATTATTTTGAAAGCACTAAATCCTTTAATACTCCCTAAATCAACACCACAGTTCTGCCATATTTGCTTCTGAGTTTATACCTCAAGACAAATTAAGTTCACAATTAAGTTCAAAAGGCCCTCTTGCCTTATGAAGGTACCAAAATGATTTCTTATGAAAACCGAATTGAGAAGTACTGCTCTCATTTTCGATACCCAGAGCTTTTCTGCATGTCTACAGAATAAAACGAATTCTCCAAGGACATATAAACCTCATTATTTCACTGAAGATATGCTACGCTATTCTGGAGGGGCTCTGTATGGCATGATCAATCCAAAAAGAATTAATGTCCTGAGACCCACTTAAAATGAATCCTTAATCACTGAAGGATAGGCAGATTATTAGCTAACCTCTGAAGTAGGACTGAAATATTCTAATCCAAACCCAATTGTCAACCTTGAAACCTCTCATATGTGTACATTCAATTAATCATCAAATCCTACCAACATTAGTTGTAAAATTCTTCTTATATCAGTCCTCTTATGTCCATTTCTACTGTCATCGCCCCATCTATCTCTGGACGGATGACTCCCTCGTTCCAGACCCCTACGCCCCCCAAAGAAGCTCGTATTTATCCACAAGCATGTTCCTCTTCCTGTACCCCCCATTTCAATGCACAGTAACCCATGCCTCCCATCTGCCAAGTGATAAATGATGTGCAGAGCTCTGAAACAGGGCGACCACATACATCCTTAAAACCTGAAGCTTAGTCGTATTAACTCTAAGACAGCTCAAAACAAAGGAAGTTCAGCTTCCTGAAAGGAGGGATAGTCTGCAAGCTCTGAGAGATTGCTTCGTTTTAACATTTGTCGAAAATAATCTCAAATTCTAAATGCGGACACCTACTCATTACTATGGGAAAGTAGAGTCTTTTTGATCTGGTCCTTTCTAATATGAAGACCATGGCCTCCCTGGAGGTTTGGGTGAAAAACAAAGAGGACAGAAGACAAGTATTGATTTCTGAGTTCTTCAGACAAACCCAGGAGGCCCTATTGTAAAATTTAAGTGTCTCAGATAAAGAAGACAAAAACCTAGCTCTCAGATGGACTTCAAATATGAGAACACTGAGGGCTCTTTCTCATCGTTTGCCAATTAATTGGTTGGCTAAATGATGAAGTGTAAACATATCTGATAATTTGGGAGTCGAGATATCCAGGGAAGTAAGGTGACTAGATTACAGCAAAGGCTTTTAAGTAATGGTTATAACACGAGTTATGAGAGTAGCAGAGAGAAATCAGGGTCCGAAAAATACACTCTGTCCTTCATATGGAAAGTAGAGGGCACAAGGTAACAGGCAGGTCTGTCATCACCATACAGGACAGGGAGAGCAACGCTGTGACACTGGACTCAGTCCAATTAACAATGGCTGACCCAGAGTTGGACTTCTCTGTGGAAAAAGCTATTCTTGTGAGCTTCATGATAAAAGTTGGGATAAAGAAAGGCAGTACAAGAACTCAAGCAACTCTATCTCAGTTAACCCCACCTAAGGATGCCTTCTGAACAGTGATGTTCTTTACCATTTAAACAATGGATGTCCCATTAATTGAATATAGCAGAGGTTCCCTCCTAAACAAGGATTTCTGGTCAACCCTAAGGAGGTTAAGGTAACCCTGTTTTTCTTCCTTTCCTTCCTTTCCTTCCTTTCCTTCCTTTCCTTCCTTTCCTTCCTTTCCTTCCTTCCTTCCTTCCTTTCTTTCTTTCTTTGTTTTTTTTTGTAACCCTGATTTTTTTTTTAGGGTAAGTTACACAAACCTAAAGAAGAGATCATTTACATAATATCCAGCTTGGGAGTAAACTAAACTACAGTGACCATGTAGCCCAAAAGTAAGTATAGGATTTTCCTGTTTTAACTCGGGTCTATCTGCAGTGGATACTAGTGCTAAGAAACACGAGGGAGGCCACTTCATTTCCGAAACAAGTCGTTACGGCTAAGAGATCATTGATCATTCTTCTTTAAATGTGGATTAGTTATATCACTTTACCTTTTAATACATGAAACTTGCCTCACATAAAAACCCATGTAACTGTAAGTACTCTATAAAAGCATCAAAGTGATATGCCATTCGCACTAGCCATCACAGAAATCTTTAAATGTAGAAGCATGGTAAACTTTTCTTATACTTTATAAATTATGTTACATCAAAGTCTACCATTCCCTGATGTTTAAGCATATCAGCAATTATCCCAAAAGGATATTTTCAAAAATATGAACTTTAAATGTTCATATTCAGTATAAATAAATATGGAATTTGATATTATTCTGAGTTTAATTGCCATTTTATTTTAAAAAAAAGAAGCATGCTTGACACTAACAGAAGCCATTTGAAGAGAAAAAATATATAAAAGCACATAAACTACAGAACAGACAATACAATGGGAAATAAACAAAATTCCCAGTTGATATTAAAATAAAAAGTAAAAACGATGCCTTCCTGTACATTGTATGGTGCTATTCTACATGTTGTCAAAATACCAATGAACTTACCCACCATAGGAAATATTCCAAGATTACGGAGTCATCAAGGAAAGAGATTCCATCCAAGTGGAAGGAAAGCAATTCAAAAATCAAATAACTACATTCATTTCATTATGAAATTAGTGGAATTAAATCAGATAATTACTGTCTGGCAAAAGAATCTTTGTACTACAACTAAAAAACAATTTAAAAGATAAAAAATGACAATTGCAATAGGAAAACTAGAGTGGTAATATTAATTCAACAAAATCTACACTGTTATACAACAAATTTTACTGCTTAAATACTAAAATAAAGAACAAATATTATTTTCATAATTTTTGTGTAAGATAGTTTACTATAAAAATAACTCAGTTGGGTTATGACAAGATAATTCATTTTACATCTGAAGCTTGGCATTAAAAAACTGAAAGAGTTACTTGAAAATAATAATATATTTCAACATATGGACAATTTCTCACCTCGTCTTCCTTCAAACACGTCATTGATTTCTTTCAGCAATGTTGACATGTCACTGATTTGGGATTCCCAAGCTTCACAAAATACATCTAGGTTTTCTTTAGCAATTTTACTAGATGGATGCAATGTCAATGTTTCAGCCGCAGAAATGATCTAATAAAGAAACACATTAAACACAGGTGGGAATTTCAAAATCTTAGCTCTCAGAATCTCATTGGAGACCAAATTTTGTCTGTACTGTTCAAATCGATTCAATCAACAACTATGAAGTAATTTCCACACATAAGCCCCATGTTGATCAATATGGAGATTCACGGGAGAACAAAACTTAGTTTCATATAATCTTATCTATCAATGAATAGTAGGCATTATTGTATACAAACATTTATTTGGGGAAAATTATCTTTTTTTTTTTAAAGATTTTATTGGGGAACTGGGGGAGGGGAACAGCACTGGGGAATCGGGGAAGGGAACAGACAAGTTGCTGTCCTTTTGTTCTTCAGTCTAGTTGTGGAGGACGTTACTTCACTGGCCCATGTTGGTATTATCATTGCGCTCTTCCCGGGTATGGCAGATTGGTCGCTGCCATTGGACGGCCACTCACAGCTGGTCACAGCGGCTCTTGGCAGCTCACACCGGCTGCCGGCCACTCACACTGGCTGCCGCCCACTCACGGTAGCTTATGGCAGCCCACTACAGCCTATGCCATTGCCGGTGACTCATGGCAGCCCAGCTCCAGGTCAAGCTGTTGTTCACCATCTTAGCTGTAGAGGGCGCAGTGTCACTGGCCCTAATGTGGGATCTAAACCAGGGCCCTGCTGCTCAGAGCTGGTGTTCTAAGCCAGCTCTTAACCAAGCGCCACTCGGCCGGCCGGGAACAATTATCTTTATTCAAGGAAAACTCTGTTTCAACAAAGTCATTTCCATAGCTTAATTCAAAGAGATATGCTCAGACTACAAAGAGTGTATTGCACACAATAGTAGAAGAGATAGGAGTTGTAGTGCTGGCAGTAGTAATAGCAGTAGGTAGGCAGTAGCACTAATGGTAGTGGTTGTGATGGTGGGAGTGGTAATAGTCGTAGTAACAGCAGTAGTATTGGTGGGAGTGGTGGTGGTCGTAGTAGTGGTGGTATTTAGTAGTAGTGGTCGTGCTAGTAGCAGTAGTAACAGTAGCAGTAATGGTAGGTAGGTGGTATTAGTATTGGTAGTGGTAGTAATGGTAGAAGTAGTAACATGCACACACGTATGAGAACATGGTAAGTATATTCTTGAGATACTGTGTTACGTGCTTGATAGGCATTAACATTACTCCTCAATAACAAAGAAAATACTACTCTTCCCAAATAAGCTTTATTCCCATTTTATAGCTAGAGAAGCTGACGCTCTGAGATACCAAGTAACTAATAGAGCAGATCCCCAAATTAGGTTGTTTAGATCAATGTCATTACAATGTAACAATGAGATGTCACAGGAACTTAACTCTTGTTTGTATCAGTTAGCCTAGGGTAAACTGGTTTTGTTATACATAATTTTGTTTCACTGAAAGTCACAGAACCTATCAATGGATGTTCAGTGAGGACTTATTACACATGGCTATTCATCACCTAGTATGTGCCAGGCACTGTACCCATGTTCCCTGGGAAAACAGGTGTGACCAAAACAGATAAATCTTCAGGGACTCACATTATAGAGAGAAAATAAAAAATATGTAAGCCAATATAAGATATTTTGAAGACAGTGATATGTATAAATATAAAGGGTAAGGAAGATGGAGGGTGTTAGGTGGTCACATTAAGTTAGGTGGTCGGTGAAAAGGCGGCATGTTAAGCAAAGAAGGGCAGAAGATGAGGGGCGCCACAGGGAAATCCAGGGAGAGAAGTTTGGGATGAAATGGGAGCATTTCTGGTGTGTTTGAGGCCAGTGTGACTGGACCGACATGGAAAACAGGAAGGTGGTGAGCGGTCATGTGATGGAGAAACATACACAGTAAGGGCTGGACTTTACTCTGAACAAGACAGGAAGTCATTGGAAAGCTTTCAGAAGACTGATGTGATCCAAGTTATGCCACCTTGAGAAAATTATAACTAGGTGCTCTTCCTGATGGGCACAATCCCACAGGCACAGGGCCTGACAAGCTGTTGGCAGCTTTATGAATAGAACAAGGTTCCCCATCTTCAGAGAAGGTGGACGGACACATGGCTTGCCAGCAGACTACAAGCTAGATTTCAGCACTGTTGCCCTCTCAACCAGGAGCCACTGCACAATGTGCAAATTGTTTAACTGTGCCTTGGATACAACCTAACATTTTAAAAGAAATACAAAAATGACATTGCTAAAGCAGAGATATCCAGAAATAAATACAAATGTCCTTAAATTATCCCTTTGTGAGACAGATGGCAAAGAGTAGGAGTAAAAGCTGAGGCGATAGGAACTGAAAAAGCTTCTCGAGTTATAGAAGTTGACAATAGGTTCTATTATCATCCTTAGGAAGAAAACCTGGCTTTTCCTAATATCACTGCTGCAAAAATACTGTAAGTAGAGAACTGCAACCAAGAGGTGACTGCATAGGCAGGAGAGTCAAATCCTTTAGTGCTACTGAAATACATTTCTAGCCCAGGCAAGTGGGATGACTCCCAACTGGACAAGCCAATATGAAAGCCTTGGTTTCTCCCAATAGACGGAGATTGTCTGGTTATAATAAATTGTTCAGCAGATGATCAATGCTGGGAGTTACTCATATATAGTTGAATCTTGAACAACACAGGGGTTAGGGGCCCCGATCTCTGCACAGTCAAAAATCCACGTGTAACTATGTAGTTCCTGCTTCCATGATAGGCCGTGGACACTGTTCTCTACAGAAGAGCATATGATCACCCCTCCAACACCCAACATGGCGGGAAGGCACACGCCACCACCGTCTCTAAATCACTTTTGCCCTTCTCAACTATAGATCCAGGGGCTTGACACCTAATGCAATTAGAAGGTCCTTCCAGTTCACCATGACAAATGCACAGGGACACCTGGTCCACTGGACTTGGGGGCTTAGGAAGGAAGTTCTGTCCCTCACGTTCTTCTTTCAATGAATTTGACAGGGACAGTGGTAAATGGGATATCAATTTTTTAAAGGCTTTGAAAATTACGAAGACAAATGTAGAAAATTCAGAAAAGAATAACTCACTGTTCTGCCAAACAAGCACAAGAACTTTCATTCCCACAGTCATTTTCTTATATATGTGCATTTCATATAATAGCAATTATAGTATATATACAAACCTGTGTGCTGCTCTGATCACCTAACTTTGTAACAAAATGCTTTTCAATGTTGCTAATTCTAGTTATCATAATTATTATGGTAAGTCATTATTCGCCTAACTTAAGGTAGTTATTTTGCTTCCAATTGAATCTTATTATAAGTAATTTAACAAACATCATTTTTTGTTTTGTTTTGTTTTTTTGTTTTTAATCTCCTTATGTCCTTAGGAATTACTGGGTCAAAACATGTCAATATTTTTATGGCTTGTTACATAATGATAACTTACTTTTCAAACATGTTCAACCTGCATTGTAAAGAGTTTCACTAAAATAGATAAAAACTAGGGCATCAATTAAATGGTGCCAATCTCCAGTTTGGCAAAAGAAGAGCTAACCCAATAGAATATCAGCTATCTTCTAGCACATCAACAACAAAAACCCCATTATCTTCATCTCTCTTGCTAGATTTGCCCTGTAGTTACGCAGAACCATTTACATCTTCCTTCCACACAACTTGTTATGACGCTTAGAGAAGACTTAATACAGAAGGAACAGCCTGCCGTCGTTGATCATACCTGTTGGCCAGTCACCTGAAATGTCTCCTCTGCGTGTATACAGGTTATTTCAAGAGGTTCTGTCCCAGAGACATGTCGCAACAGTCGACAGGTCTACGAGAAAACATTTCTATAGTTCAACTTTCACATTCTCATTCTTCACAATACATAGTACCATTTTATACTTAATAAAGAACATAGAACATCAAAATCTATAAAAATAAATGTGTACATGAATGAGAAATATAATACTATATTGGTTACCAACAGATTCTCTAGGAACAAAGCAGGAACAAATAGGGTACGGCATATTTTTTCCAATTCCTATGTGGTCATGGCAAGGTGGTCATGGACTATTAGAACCAGAAGGAATCTTTGCAAGGATCTAGTAGTACCTACACATTTTATGTATGAAGATACTTGGCTCAGAGAAGTGAATTGCCCAAGGTCTCTTAGCTAAACTAGGTCGATTACTACAAACTACACTTTCTGTCAACGAAACACATTCCAATAAACTTTAATTCAAAAAACAAAACAAAAAAACAAACCCCACTTTCCTTCATGGTCAATTAATTAAAACACTTTTCACTGGAGTTAACACTGGGTTAGGCAAGGCTGATATAATAAGTAGAGAGCCTGTATCAGTGAAAATTATTAAATACCTTGAGGCTTAAAACAAAAAATTAAAAAAAAATGTTTTTCATCTTTTAAAAATATTTGCTGCAGGATTCCTATAAGTAGCAAGTTTGCTTACAGTCATAGTACCTGATTTACAAACAAAACAGCATCAAAATTATTTTAAAAATAAGATGTATTTATAGTCATTTTAAGAATGCTTCTTAGAATTTTTCTGATATAATCAAGAGAAGTAAAGGAAGCTAGTCCACTTCGTCTAAAGGTTCCTTCTAACCATTCGTCTTGGAGATCTGATGAGCAGGGTAGATTAGGTGATGTGAAGAAAGCTACATGGTTCATATCTGTGCATTTATATACATGTTGGCTAGGGCATACCTTCTATATACAAGGTATACATGGGTTAAGTATACGAGCATATTTTTTTATTAGCAGATATCTGACATTCTCAATAGGTAAAAGGCTTAGAATACCCATTAATAATTGGAATTATAACAAAAGTGCAGGAAAAGCACCAGTAACACATAACAGAGATTTGGGCAGAATAAGAGAGGTTCAGAGAAAGCCTATTATACTGAATGTCTTCTCTTTGTCCCTCCATATCCACTCTCCGTCCTTTTCAAAACCACTTTTTGCCCTGGAAGACTGACCTCTGTGGTCTGCGGCTATTTTGGGCCAATGGAATAGACCAGCAGGGATGAGGAAAGGAAGAGCCTTTATTCCCATGTCCTTTCCATGTGGGGACATCTGGGGCTGTCTCTGTGTACAGTCCTAAAATCGAAGCCTCTTAAGGTAGCCCTCTGGAAGACTCGATGCCCTTCAGTTTCTAGTAACCACGTGCTACCCTGTCAATTTGGGCTTAGGGGTGTTACCAGCTCTGCTATCACGATCCCCAATGACTGCACTCCCGTGGTTTCCTCCACACCCTGTCTATGCAATTGTAAATATCTTCTTTATAAAATTATCCTAATTTGAGTGTGCCATCTCTTTCCTGCTGAGACCCAAGACTCAAATAGACACAAGGTATCTCCACTGCACTGTTCCAAAGTCTAATTTCTCTGAGAGAGTAAAGAAAAGAAGATTAAGAAATACATTTATGGGTTCTAGCAATTTGGGTTGTTTTGTTTTGTTTTAGAAGCCAGATTGTTATAAGAACAGAACAGATAAACATACCTTTAAAATTCCAAAGGACAGAAAAATGCTTGTGTGAGTTAACCAAAAACTGTATTGGCATTAATATTCCCTAATAATAGCAGAGGTATCGTGAAACCACAATTTCTTTAACAAGTACGTTTATTACTCACCTCAACAAGCTGGTCTTTCTGTTCCGAAAGTTTACAGGCGTATTCGGCCAAACCTTCTAAATTTCCTTCTACTCCAGTAAGTTTTAATGCTTTTAGAACCACATGATCAGCGTGGTATTTTAACAGATCTGCTGCCAGCTGAGTTGCTGTTCTATGAAGCTGCAGATGTGGGGGGTGAATGGTGATAAAAGAAAGAAAACCCACAATAAAAGTTAGTGACCAAGCACCTCATAATCATTTTAAAAACAAGAGTAGCAACCTCAACGCAGTCCCCGCTTGATCGGTTGAGGGGAAAGTGTCAAGTTCCCTGTGATAATAGCAGTTGTGTAGCTTGCAAGTTCTCCCGAGGGCACAATGATATCAACAGTCTTGAGTCCCCTGGTGTTGGCAGTAATGCTGTCTGTGGAAGATGAACTGGTCCTCCTGGCAGAGTAGCCTGGTCCCTTTTTCATCCTACTATCAACCAGCTCTTTCCCACATAGCTTCTCTCTTACCTTAAAAAGACACTTCTGCTACTCTTAAAGTTAGTGAGGAATGGAACGCTATTAAGAGAATGGTACGCAAAGTACTAAGAGGAAAATAAAACAGTAGTTTGTGACCATTTGGTAAGTTTTTTGCCATACTTTTGAAAAAGTATCAATGTGCGAGTCAGTCAATTAGGTATTCCACCAAATTTTATTAAATATCTATACCATGACAGGCACTGGAATAGAGACACTGGACATACATAATAAGTAGGACACCACCCCTTCCTTCAGGGGGTTACAGTCTAAAACATTGCTAACCGAGCTTTACTCTCTATCTCTAACTCTTGGGTCACAGGAGAAATGATAGATAAAAGTTTAGGTAACAAAACCCCCAAGGTTTTATTTGACTGTGGGTGGAGTGGATTCTAAGCATGGCTCACTCAGCCTGGATATCTTTGGGTATTATTAGCTCCAACACATTCTCCTTATCCTGTCTTTTTAAAAAACAATGTGACAGTTTATGTTGAGGCTGTCCAGAAAGAGATCATTTTTAATAACACTGTCCCCAGAAAAATCTGACCTTGAATTAGGCCTATTTCAAAGAAGTAACTTTTCTTTTTCCTGGAAATAATCCAATGTCAATTCAAATGATAGGACTTTCTACAAAATTAACAATAGGGTAGTCCACATTCATGCAATCAAGTGGGAATAATTACAGTCAGAAACAAAGACATGAAAACATACTTTCCTTTGGAAACTAAATACCACATAAGAATTTTAAAAGATTTTGTTTAGCCATCAGGGCCTTAGAGAATACTAAAATTGGCCCTTTATTTTACAGACTATGAAACAGGTCCTTAGAAATTGAGTGATTTGTCCAAGGTCACGTACATTTTACAAATGGTTCTAGACAGAGCTTATTAATCACCCTAAGAGAAGAAGGGTGTGTAACATGAAGTTTCTGCTCTATGAGCATAGTGACAGAAGCTTTAGAGATATATCTCTCTTAATCCTTACAAAAAGGTTTCTAGGTTGATGTGGTTATACCCATTTCAGAGGTAAAGAAAATGATGCCCATCACCAAAGGATTTACGCTCTACTGATAGTCACAGTTTCAAACAATAGTTTAGATAAAATTGAGTAGGCCGGGAAATAATGGGTAGGCTTTTTTTACAACAAGAGAAAACCACATCCTCTATGTTTAAAAAAATGGTAAAAAAAGGTTTCAACAGAGGTCGGTACCAAGTAAGATGTAAAACAGGTCATCATGTGTATAATTTGGAAAAGAAACATCCAAAAACCAATTTTATTCTCTTGAGCCCTTGACCCACTTCAAAAAATATAAAAGAATCAAGAAATTAGAGATAAGGGAGAGGAAGGGTTTTTGTGAGGAGGGTCTGTTTGGAGAGCTGGTGGTGCTTATTATGAGTCCCACCTTCAGGCACCCCCAAAGTAGAGGGAGCAATGTGACACGTGACTTGCAGTAAGCGGAGGAGAGGGGGACAATAGGAGAGCCTGTGAAGAATACATTCAAGTGTCCATGAGACAGGAAGTCAGCTTTAAACCTCTACTGAGCCGAAAGGCACCGTCAGGAAGAACTCTCTGCCTCCCCACTTCCTGTCTCTCCTCCCTGTGCCACGCCTGGCAAGGTCAGGAACGGAGACCAGGTGAGGGATGAAGGGCGTGGAAAAGAGCAAGAGACCACACTTTCCCCCAAAACTCCTAGGTGGGGGACAGGAGAGAAGTCCTATGATTGAAGGAAGGTTGAAATAACGATTACTAGGTTGGAGTGAACATTCTCATTTTTGAACTGAGATGGTGTTTTATGACCTAAAGCAGGGATTGGCAAACTTTCTCAGTAGAGGGCCAGAGAGAAAACAGTTTAGGCTTTTCAGGCCACAGATTTCTATGGCAATTACCTGACTCTGCTGTTGTAGTGAAAAAGCAGGAGGCAATATGTAAGCAAATGGGAGAGACTGTCCCCAAAAACTTTGCTTAGAAAAACAGGCCTGGTTGCAGCTTGCAAATCCCTGACTTACACTGACTTTCAGTGACCTGAGAGTGACCAGGTAAATCATGGGATGACTAAGTTTCCATTCAGAGAACCGAAAGAATATTTTTAAAAATCAACTTTATTAAGTTGTATAATTGGTATACAACGAAATGTACCAAGAGTACAGTTTGATGAGCTTTGAGAAACATACCCATGTAAGCACCACCACGATCAATATTTACATTTCCATTAACCCAAAAAGGCTTCCCACATCCCTTTGTAGTAAACATCCCCCAGCTTCTGACCCCAGACAGCCACCGATATGATTTCTGTCACTATAAATCAGTTTTGATGGTTTTAGAATTTGTTCCAAACAGCAGATATATACCTATATATCTACATCTATCTATCTGTATACATGTATATATACGTATGTATCTAGAGATATATATAGACACACACACACACACACACACACACACACACACACACACACACACACACTTTTGTGTCCAGCTTCTTTTGCTGAGTGTAACATTGTGACATCCATATTGTTACCTATATCAATATTGTTCCTTTATATTGCTGAATAATAACTGGTTTAGTTTGACCACATTCCGTTTTTCAATTCCCCTGTTGATGAAACTTTAGGTTGTTTCCAGTTTGGGGCTATTATAAATAAAGCCGCATGAATATTCATGGACAAGCTTTGAGTGATGGCACTAATAAAAGAGTGGCTTCTAAGAACTGGGTCATGAAGCTCAAGTAGAATAATACTGAATGTCAACTATAATTATACACACACACACACACACACACACACACACACACACACACACACACCCCGAGGGTACCAAAAAAATGTATACACATTTTAAGAAAGGAAAAAACTGTATTAAAATTGTAATACAAAGGGCCAGCCCAGTGGCTCAGTCAGTTAAGAGCTCACTCAAGAGTTTGAGCTCTGAGCAACAGCGGTTCGATGCCCGGCCCAAGCTGAGCTGCCGCTGAGCTGCAAACAGGCAGCAGGATGGCTCAGCTAAAAAAAAAAGTAATATAATGAATGACACTATCATTCATTTGATTAACACCATCTTTTGAGCGAACGTCATACTAAACATTGCTACCGTAATTCAATTCAACTTCAAAAAGTAATACATAGATGACATCCCTTAAAATGTGTACATGTTTTTGGTACCCCCGGGTATATGTGTGGTCACGGGATATAAAGTTCAGCATAAGGAATATAGTCAATGGTATTGACGGCAGCTATGTACGATGCCAGAGGGGTAGCAGACTTGGGTGGGGCGTTATCACTTTGTGAGGAATGTAAATGCCTAATCATTATGTCGTTTTGTACACCTGAAACTAATATTAAAAACTGTAAAAATAAATAAATAACTAGGTCAAAGGAAAACTTAAAATCATTTTCTGGCCATAGGGACATACTAATACTAATGCATTTCATACACACCATAAAATATGAAAATTAGCAAAGAATTAAAAGAGGTTAGATTTCAAACTATACTTACTTCTTTCTTAAGTTCATTGAGGCTGTGACTGATTTTTAACATACTGAGTTCCAGTTCTTCGGCAACACTTTTTGTTTTCTTGCTTTGCTAAAAATTTTAAAAAGCATACATATAGTGTTACTTCCTCTTTTCTGTCTGGTAACTCCAATTTTACTTGAACTATAAATTACCATAAATTTTTAGTATCATTCTGTGAACATAAGAAAACTAGATCTTAAAAATTCACCTGCTTATGGTTAGAATGGAAAGTAAAATTTTAATCATTTAGCTAAATTTTCCCATTCTAACTATAAACAGATTAACTTCTAAAATCTAATTTTCTTTAATAAATTTTTATCATGTGTAAAACTAAACTATTTAATTTGCTGCCTGGAGTGCTCATCTCATCACTCTTAACCTAGTTAAAAACTAAAATCCTATGCATCGTCAAGTCCTTGCCTCAATGTCTCTTTCTCAGAAAGGCCTTCTCAGATCACACAATCTAAATCAGACCTGCTTCTTACCCACTCTAATCTTTTCTCTGATCATTCTAGCATGCAATTACATATTCACTTTTTGATTGGTTGCTGTTGTTGTTTAATGTCTATCTTCCCCGCTAGGCCTTGGTAAACTCCATGAAGGCTGGAGTCACATTGGTTTTGCTCACCAGTGAATCCACAATACCTGACACAGTACAACGGGTAGCAGGTATTCAGTTCTTTGAATGAGTAGATCAAAGTTTCATGTCAGTATCTTCAAGAAGCCTTCTTGATTTCGCCCCCTAAATAAAAATTCATCCTTCTTCCAATCCTCTCACTGCATGATCTGCACCTTCTCTTTGGACACTTACAAAGCTTTTCGTACTCGTCTCGCCCGTTCCCACATTTTTCTACATTGCGAAATTCTTGCAGGCAAAGGTTTTTTATCTTATTCAACTTTAGATTTCCAGTGCCTGGCATATAAAAGGCACTCGGTAACAACTGCTGAAATAAATGAATGAATGAACAATACATCTGGCAGGCAGAATCAGAGATCTGAGGGCTTATGAAATATGTGACACGTGATAATTGCAAATTTAAATATTGATAGAATCAGATTTTCAACACAGACAAGCATTTCGTCACAGAAACTCTTTATACTGAATGTTGGGCTTAAAATTTAACACTGAAGCAATCTGTATTTCAGATTAGATATCACATAGGTAATTAAAACTAAACACAAAATATTGCTTTTATCCCTGACACCACTCTACTCTAGGTTAAGTTTCCCTGTCAATATGAGCATTTGCAATTTTGGGATGCTAAGAAAATATGAGAGAAATCTGATTCATATCTACTCTTCATTCATAAAGTGATGCATTTACAAGGCAGTACACCGGTGCTTTGTTCAGTACACTCTCAGCACATTCACCCTTCTTCATCTTTACTGCCAAAGCTTTTGTTCAAGACTTTCAGATTTGTTCTATCCATGCTATATGTCGAAAACCATGTTAAGTACTTTTTTGACATAGCCTAGGTCTAAGCAATAAACGCATCTCAGGCCTCTGTCTCTCAATTTTGTAATCTAGCCTCTAAAAGAAACTGGGTACATACTCCCATCCTGAGTTGTCCCACTCCCATCACTCTGTACCACTCTTGCCCAATAACCTCCCATGTTTTAAGCATAGCAGCAGCTTGTCTAAGGCTCTTTAAGAGGCTGCCCACCAACCTTAGACCAGCAATTTGTGTAAGAGTGAAAAATCTTCTCCCTGTCGGCTGGATCTACCCTTGTCTTCACTGCATCTATACCTCAATAAATTTTCTAAATCGTTGTGCCCGTAAATCAGCTGTCCTCAGAGTTAAGAGCTCTGCCCGTCTGAATGGCTCTGGGAGTAAGACTCAGGCCCCAAGAACCTCTTGGTTCTTAGGGGTCTACTCTTAGGGTCTACTCCTCTGCTCTTTGCTCTGAAGAAAGACGTTGGGGAGGAGTTTTCCAGAGAGGAGTTTGGTGGAGGAAGTGAGGCCAACAGGGTGAATGAGTGACGGTGATGGTGGCACAGAACCCAGGAACGGACCTCGAAATAATTAAGCACGGTGAGTGCTGGATGGCAGGATGCTTTGGCCAAGTAGGAGGGAAACAAGGAATGAGAGAGACATCCTTGTCTCACTCTGGACCACATTCACGTTCCTGGTGATCAGGTTACCTTCCACATTTCTCAAGACTTTAAGGAAAAGCTCTCACATAAAATTGAATTTCATGAAAAACAGTTCTTACAGCTTGACTCCACACCGATATTAACTGCTGCAGTTCCATCCTCGCATGAGTTGACAGTTCCAAGATGCGTTCCCGGTGCTCATGGCTGGTATAGGCAGAATCAGTGAAGTCCTCTGTACGCTCCAAGATGGCTTCCAATGTCCCCAAAAGATTCTCTTTTGACTCAAAACAAAGACTCTCCCGAAGAGTTTCAATATTCATCTGAGAACAAAAAGGATATATACATCCATATATATCAACGTTCCCCCTAACCAAAATGGACTGTCATTTCTAGCAGTGCCTAGGAAGACACCAGCAATTTCTTTCCCTGTGTGAGGGCTCAGAGGAAATGCTCCCCACACCCCATGATGACTACATTCTCCACTAACCCAGGAGGACACACTGCTTAGGAGCCAGCAATGGCCATGCAGAGCTTCTCTCCAATGGTTATTACAACATTCCCACGAGATCAGTGAACACTAAGGCAGAAAGAGCATTATCATGTAGCAACCGGTAGGAAAAAATGAACTAGCCTTCAGGTACAGGATCTGCACCTGACAAAATGCCAAGGTCAAGTCCTAGCAAATGTTACACCCAAATACGAACATGAACTGAGCCCAGGGGGAAAGGTGTGGAGGGCAGAGAGTATGGGAAGGACTGGGAAAGGCATCAAGTTTTCCTCAATGAATTCAGCAAAACTCTCCTTGTCACCGAGGGGTCTCCCTACATTTTGTCTTATGTCCCCAACAGCAACTCCCTGACCAAAACATCCTCTACCAGCGTGGGCCTGTATCCTCTTTCTGCAAAGTAAAGCTTCCGATATCGCCACCTCCCTCTCATTGGCTCCTCACCACCTATAAAATCAAGCCCAAACTTCCTTTGTGCAGCACAAAACTCTCTAGGGTCCTGTCTTTATATTCCTCTCTGTCTGTCTCACCTCCCAAGCTCCCAAACAACAATTCACTTCAGTCATCCAGTGCTTGGAGTTCCTTCAACATGCGATGTTGCCTAGTGCAATCGTCCTCTCTCTCAGCTCTCTAAGACACACTAGGCCACTTCAAGCTTCTTTAACCTTTAGCCCATGAAACAGGTCACGGAAACAACTTGGGCCAAGAGGCAATAGTGGTGATGATCATGATTAGGGACTCAATGAATGTGCTGAGAAGGAAAGCTTACATTTGTTTAGCTTTAAAGTCCTTTCACAAATACTATTTCAAGTTAATCCTTACATATGACCCATGAATATATCAAGATTTGCGAAGGTCAAGAGGCCATAGGGGAGTGCTTGCTGCCATGTCCTCTCCTGGCCTAGGTTGTCTCCAGTATCACTCCATCCTATGTAGATAGGATTTTTTTTTTAAGCTAAGAAAGAACATGAATAAAAAAGTGAGGTATGGAATTGACCACGAGGCTCTGAGAATTTGAACAGAATTACAACATAAAAATCAGTCAGGGTGACCACACTACTTATATTAGGGTTTTTGATTTTCCCTTTTGAGAGAACACTGATGTGTTTTTATTTTTTTATTTTATTGGGGAATTGGGGAAGGGGAACAGTGTTGGGGAATTGGGGAAGGGGAACAGCCAAGTTGTCCTTCAGTCTTAGCTGTGGAGGGCGCAGCTACCTCAGCCCCAAGTCCAGTCACCATCCAGCTGTCCATTGGCAGCTCGTGGCTGCTCAGCTCAAGGTGCCGTATTCAATTTTAGTTGTGGGTGGGCATAGCTCACCATCCCATGTGGGAGTAGAACTGGCAACCTTGTTGTTGGGAGCACGTGCTCTCACCAGCTGAGCCATCCTGCCAACTGTTGACAGCTCAGTGACAGTCAGCTCAGGCACAGCTCACTGGCCCATGTGGGAATCAAACTGGCAACGCTGTTGCTCAGAGCTCACACTCTTAACCAACTGAGCCACTTGGCCGGCCCCCACTGATGTGTTTTTAAACAGTAACTTACTAGAGTTGCTTTTTGAAGGCCATTAGGTTTTATGGTTTCATAACACTTGTCCTTATATTCAAAGTACTGAACACAGTAGAGTATTCCCTCTATAGATTATATCTTCCATCAGAAAAAAGGTAAGATGCCAAAAAGATAACCACTGCCGATGAGACTGAGTCTATTCATAATAGCTCCACCCTCTAGAACGACTGACGTTAAAGGGTCGGCAGCTAGAGCAGTGGGCAGTGGCCACAGGTGCAGCACTGCCCCTAGTTAACCTGGCCAGAAAGGCAGCGTCCAGGGCAAAAGAGCCTGGCCCTGACCCTTGTTGTTTCGCTAACTATCCTCTGAACTTTGACAAGACAGCTCCCCGCTCAGCCTTTAGAAGAAGAGGAGATTAGACAAATAATCTCTAAGATCTTTTTTAGCAATAAAAACTCAAAGAGAATGGCTGGTCCTTCCTCAGGAAGAGATTTAGGGTAGGACTTGGTAACATATAAACAAACCCATGGGTGTTACTAAAACGTCATGGAATTTGGGATTATTTTGTTATACCTCAAAAATTGGGTATAACAATATCCACTTTAGAAAGGAAGTTAGAGGTTAAATTAGGTAATATTTATTAAGAGCGTAGCCCCTAAAAATAAATGTTTCCGTTATTTTCTTTGACCCCACGTTCCTACTTGGATCTTCACACAATCACAGGTCAAAGTGCAGTAAGATGCAAACAACGCCATCCTGTCTCAGCCTTGCCTACTGGAGAGGTGGCAACCCTTAGCGTACTAGATAACTTCCTAGGGCCCTAGTTTTCCCATCTGTTAAACAAGGAGTTGTGCTAGAGGATTTCCTAGGGCCCTCCCAACTCAGACACTGCTGTTACCCAAAGAGCAGCTTCACCGTCTCATCGACTTCCAATGAGAAGTTCTGCCCTAACGTGGTGGGGATTCTGGAGTCGGACTGCCTAGACCCAAATCCCCCAACTCGGGTGCTTCTTACACGGCGAGGGACTCAATCTGTGTTTCTCAGTCTCCTCCACAGTATAATGAGAATAATAACAATAGCTCTTGTGAGAATTACACACACACACACACACACACACACACACACACACACACACACACAAAGTACTCAGAACAGAGCTGGCACAGAGTAAGTGCTCAATAAGTGTTAGAAGGTATCATTGTTCATTTAAAAATTTTAATGATCATTAATACTATCACTATTACTCTTATTACCATCGCAAAATATCAACCCGATAGCACAGGGAAGAGCAGGAATTCCAACACACATGATTTGCTGTCTGTCATCATCAGTGATGGTAACAGCACTGCTCAAAAGACTTGGTGAGGAACAACCTTCTAAACAGATGCCAGGAGGCTAAGGCTAAATCATATGGTTAAACAGGGCCAGAGAGCTACTAGAACCCAAGACCAGTGTTCTTTGTACAGGCCACACCAAGCCAAACATTACCGATCATTAAGTTTGTACATCGTGGCATTGTTTTAAAGACAAATGTCTGCTTTTATGAAGCATCTATTCTAAAATGTTACAGAAAAATACAGGTATTACAGACAGCGATGCTCCTTTGAAACAGAAAGAAAAAAAATCAAAGTACATTCTCTTTATTCTTACCTTGAATTCTTTAATTCCAGTAAAAATAGTGATGGATGAAATGTCAGTCTCTGCATGGGGTTTGCAGTCAGTCACAATTTCAATGACCTTATCCAATGCCACTTTCATTCGGTCAAACACGCCTTCTTTGTTTTTATGGGCCGATTCACAGTTGGGATGCCTGAGACACGTCTTCAAAACAATTGAAACTTTCTATTTTAAGATGCGATCCATGTGGTAACACACAAAATCTTACAGAGAACATGTCATGCTAATAAAAATGGTTCTTTACCAAAATCTCCCGGGTCCCTGGCTCACCCAGCTGCTTCTCCTCACTACAAGTGGAAGCAGGATGAGTAAAAAGCGATAGCAAGGTTAAGTGAAAAAGGCAGAGTGCGAAACTACAGCTTTATACTTCAATAATAAATTTACTTAAAATTTCTCAAAAAAACAAAAAAAAACAAAACTATATCTTCACCATGATTAAAAATAGTTTAAAATGTTGCCTTATATGTGCAAGAACTAAACAAGAATGAGGAAAAATGAACAGATGATATATGACTGTGGATGTATCTTTGACTTTGAAAAAAATAATGTAAATGAAAAACTAACTACTCAAGAGTCTAGAAACGAACACAGCCTCCCAAGTGGGCGCCAGTGAATTCTGTTTTTGTGGCTTCACTGACCCCAGCATAGAGTAAACATTCTGAGTAGAAAAGGCAATTGTAAACAAACCTGTGCTCATGAGACATTTACTAGTTCATTCTTGAACGGTACCAATTTGCTGGCCAATTGCTGCTTGGAGTGACAAGTTCTTGATTGACAACTTTGTTTAAAGTAGGATAAGGAATTTAAGAGATGAATGTACAGAATAAACAAACTAAGGGCTGACTTAATGCTCCTCTGTTACTTAACAGATTCTAACTTGCCCAGGTTTTGCTAGAGCTGGCTCCCCAACGAGACTGGCAAAACCCTGCAGGCGGTGACCGTGTGGGACAGGCCTGGATTCACGGCACCTGATATACCATCTTCTGCTTAGCTGCTCAATCAAAGCTGACTCCTAGATTAACTGCTGTTTGGAACTGGGTAAGCAAGTTAGCATCCTTGTTAAAGAATAATGGAGGTCTGACTATGACAGCCTATATTCCAATTGATTACTTTGATCTTTTTAAAAATGTAAAATACATACATTAGATGCATTTCATTAGGTTCTCTAATTTACAACACCGTAAAACCAAAGTTTTCTTACCTTTGAAGCTGTGAGAAGCATCATTGTACACTTTTCAAGAACCGCCCTAGCGGCTGCCATTTTTGCTTTTTTCTTTTCATCCTTCAAATCCTAACAATGAAATAAGATCACTGAGCAGTGTAGGATCATGTGAACAATCCAATTTCTTGAAAAAAATCATTTACTCAATATTAACAATACTCGACAATAAGTAACACAAATAAAGTGACAAAGTGAAAAGAAACAACCCAACTAAAGTGTCATAAAATGTCACCACTTCAATCTAAATACATGAACACAACAGAGTGGAAAGAAACAGCTGCCCTGATTTAGGCGGCAGATCCAGGAACTAAGACCTAGGGAAAGGTTCTCAGACTGGTGGCCTTCCACACCTGACATTCTCATGCCCTGTGAACATACCTCACTCTTAACCAGAAACAATCATCCTATGCTTTACTCAATTAAAAAGGACTTATTTAGGGCCGGCCGAGTGGCACGTTGGTTAAGAGCTGGCTTGGGATGCCAGAGGGCCCCGGTTCGGATTCCACATATGAGGGCCAGTGACACTGCCCTCTACAGCTAAGATGTTGAATGACAGCTCGACCTGGAGCTGGGATGCCGTGAGTCGCCGGCGATGGTGTAGGCTGCAGCCCCTGTGGCAGTGGGTTGCCATGGGCTACCGTGTGTAGCCAGCAGCCAGCGTGAGCGGCCCTCAAGCCGCCGTGAGCGACCGTCCAGAAGCTGGTGACTGATCTGCCTCGCCCGGAAAGAGCGCAATGATGGTGCCAACTTGGGCCAGTGAAGCAACGTCCTCCACAACTAGACTGAAGAACAAAAAGACAGCAACTTGTCTGTCCCCTTCCCCCAATTCCCCAGCGCTGTTCCCATCCCCCAATTCCCCAATAAAATCTTTTTAAAAAAGGACTTATTTATTGAGCCTCTATGGGCTATTATTTCCTTCAGAATAGATACTTAGAAGTCAACTCTTTCAGGGGTCATGTCTGATTAACCCCATCTAAATGCTTATTCATTTCAATACGAGCTTTGTTTGTCCTAAACTTAATCGATATGCTGCTCTAAGATTTTCTTAAGATCTTTCATAGACATATAGTATTCCCCAACTAGATTATGAACACAGATGCAAAAACTGTAATTTGAATTTTTTTTCTTTTGGTTTCTCTTCTAAGAGCCCTTGATTGAATGTGTGCTAGCACAGATGGTACCAAATATTGCTGATCAAATCTAGAACCAAATGCTCCTCATAACAATTTGGTTACGGCCATCAATAAACCAGAGGTGAGCAAATATTTTCAATAAAAGGCCAGATAATAAATTTTTTAGGCTTTCTCGATTATAAGGTCTCTGTCACAACTAGTTAATTCTACCATTGTAGTGTGAAAGCTGTCACAGACAATACATAAACATATACTGTCAGAACAAAGCATGGCTGTGTTCTGAAAAAAATTTTACTTATGGACACTGAAATCTGAACCACATATAATTTTCACCTACCACATTGGTCAGTCTTTTTTCATTTGTGAGTTGGGTGGAAAGCCCTTCCTTACAAATAATGAAGACCTAAAGTGTGGGAATGATTTGTCTTTTATTTGTTTTAGTAAATTATTATAGTAGATTCAAAGTTATTTCTATAATATCACTCTCATTCACCTGCATCCCAATAGAGCTTTCCTTAATAGGAAAGAAGGAAACAAAGTTACATCTAGTATATAAGAAACTGCACTCGATACAAAAGTTAATTCAGGTCACAAGGTCATGTCCCAAAGGACTGTGTCCTATAGATGAATATCATCCATCATGAGTATCTATCAAAAATAAAGGTTGAGGTTACTTCTAAAACTCCCACTTTGTCTTTAACATACTGGACAGGGCTTTTTTGCAAAACTATTGTACCTGTGGGTCTAGTTGACAATCCATCAAGTGTGTACACCATACATAACACTTGTAAGCCACACGATACCATATATTGTATGATGATGGCCAGTGAAAGAAAAAGATAGCATCTCAATCTGTTGGAGGACTGGTCCACAGGACAAAACAGAGACCTCCATAAAACTCAGATGGTCCAAGAAGCCCTAAGTGAAGCATCTCAATATAGTCTTCCACTTTCCAGATCAATAGCCATCTTCCAACTCTAGCTACCACCAGGATAGTTCATGCCCCAAACCACAGCCTATTGGAATATATCAAAATACCTCAAGAAAAGGTCAGTTATTATATATTTAACTTGCTGACAAGATGGACTCATACACAAATACCCCAACAAGGAAAAGTCAATCCTGGATATAATGTAGTCCCCTACCTCCCTAAGCTTTGGAACTTGTAGTCTAAATTGAGGAATAAACCGATAAAGAACTAACATCATGGTGTAGAGTTTGAAGTATACAGGCTTTAGGCTCAGATATAACAGAGTTCAATCTGCTAGAGGAGTGACCTTGGGAAGGTTTATTATCCTCTCAGGTTCAGTTTCCTCATGTGTGAAAGAGTAAGAACAATACTTACGGTAGGAATGTTTTGAGAATTAAATTAAATCATGGATATTAAGTAGTTAACACATAGCCAATACAAATAAATAATGGCTTAGGTTATTACTATTAATCTAATGTAGAGTAATTCTAGAAAGATATAATAACAGAATAATACATAAATTACAGAAGAATTATAACAGAGATATGTAACAAAATACTATAAAATATAAATATAGATAGACATAAATATAGATGACTCATTTATTTGCCTGAGCCCTGGTCAAAGAGTCAAATAGAAAGTTTCATAAAAGAAGTACTTGAGTTGGGCCTTGAAGGCAACAGGACCTTTCCCAGTGTGAGGTGGGGGCAGATTTAACTGCTATATGTGTACAAGAAAAGTATGCATGTATTTGGAGATTTTAGAGGGTGTTGTGTACATACATTTTGTCTATCTCCAGTTAGATGTGCAAACTCCACCATTTCATTTCCAAATTGACTGAATATTTGGACAAACTCTTGAAAGCTATTCACTTTCTCTAGTCTTTCCATAGTTGCAAGGACCTGCAAAACAGAGAAATGTGTTTTTTTTTATCATCAGGCGTAGATGTGAAAGAGACGGAGATGTCAAGGCTGCGTACAGACAGGAAACAAGAGACACGTGAAATTCTAGGGGAAAGCTGAGAAGGAGGGGTCGGAGGAGCAGAAGCAGATTCAAAGGCTAGAATCATTGCAGGGGATGATTCGCTTTAAGGATGGGGAGAAAGCGCAAATTAAAATTACTTGGAAATTAAAAGGAAAAAGAGCACAACGGATGACTAAATATACAAGAGAAGAGATCACTTATGCAGCAATTCTGGAGAAGGTAAGAATGGGTAGGATTAAGGTGAGCAAATGTTCAGAGAGCTAGGAAGGGGGTGAGGATGAAAGGCAATACGCAGGCGCTTTAAGGCTCCGTAAACCAGATTTGAGGGAACGCCATTCTCCTCAGGAAAGTGGAGGGAAGGTCATGTGCAGAGTGGCGAGTGGAAAGGGAGGTCGGAGACCTCAAGAGCAGGAAAACAGTTTGGCTCGGTCAGGAACTGCCTGTGTTAAATCAATTAATTGCCAAGAAGCTTTGAGCAGCCAAGAAGGAACAGAGAGCACAAACCTGCCATAGAGGCAACAGAAAATGTCATGCGTTTTCTTGACAGTTAGAACTAAAGTAAATAGATGTCCAACGTATTTTCAAATCCTTTCCTCTAAAATAACAGTACTGGCTTAGTTTTTAGTCCGACCAAGATAGGTAAAGAAAACACAGATATCCTGTGTTTACTTATTTTTAATGAGGATATGATGGATGTTTGGCGTGTTAATCGGCCCTGGCAGCTCAGGAAGTCCAGGCGACTCACACAGATGAGGCTGATTGCCACCCCTGAGCAGAACCGCCGTCTTTCAAAGAGAGGAAGGATTTTTTTCCCTGTTCCTCTGGCACTGCCCAGCCCACCTCTCCAATTTCTTTTTCTCTTCAAGCTTACACTTCCGATTTACTCAACACTCGCCAGGTAGTTTTGTCCCCAAACCCTGGTTGATTGCCCTCCTCCCCGCCTAGGGAATTACCCAGGGAGAGATGCGATAACCCACACCCTGGCTTTCCGGGTGACGTTGGAACACCATTATCTGAGAGTTTAAAATCTATTCTCTAAGTTTTGTGATTATTCAGTGATATTTAGGGAAATTTGGTAGTGTGGATAATTGTGGTTGAGGGTGATTGATTTTTTTTCCTTAAGCTTATAAAGTGTTACTCTTTGATTTGGAAAAAAATAAAAAGGCACCGAGAAATTCAGTAATTTTATCAACTAGGTTTCTACTACATGCATTGTCATGGTGTTTGGCTTTCTTCCTGAATTTGTACACATGAAAAGCTTTCACCAATAAGCCCCAACAAGTAGATGATGGTTTTCTGACAGGAAACATTATTTGCATTCAAAAGTTTAGGGCCAAAATATATGGCGATAGAAGGAGAACTGACTCTGGGTGGTGAACACACAATGTGATATATAGCTGATGTATGATAGAATTGTATACCTGAAACCTATGTAACTTTACTAACAATTGTCACCCCAATAAACTTTAATTAAAAAAAAAAAAAAGTTTAGGGCCAGCACACACATCGTTTCGGAATTACAGGTATAAAGAAACACCACTTTAAAAAAAAAGAAAGATATAAAAAAAAAAGAAAAGAAACACCACTTTTAAGCTATACACAATTAGAGTTATAAACAATTAAAATAGACAAGCATTGCCAAATTACCTACAATTAACCTAAAAAAAACCCCACTTTTTGAACAACCCTGAAAGACCCAGTATAGACACACCAGAAAGGCAAGTACCTTATTTCTCGATGTGATTATCTGCTTAATGACCACTCGGTCTGCCAGCAACAACACTTTTGTGACTGAAGAAAGAAGCAATCTTGCTGCCTTTATAACTCCCGTTTTGTCTGTAAAAATTGTGATCTGGCCATCAGATTCTGGGTGATTCAAGCTGCTTACATCTGTTAGTGCTGCAATTGTTTCTCCTACCAAGAAAGGCAAAGGGAGAAAAAGTGAAATTGGGAACATGACCCACTTCAATTAAAATCCAGGCTTCTCACTAATCTTGAAGGTTATGTGCCCGATGGTAGAAATTCAGCTTTGGAGTCTTATTTCAAGGACAAGAAACAGTTTTCCAGGATGAGCACAAACACTAACACATGAGGCTCTCTAATGACAACATAACAGCACAATCTTAAGAATTGTGACACATTTTCATCTTCACCAAGTTTGAAAAACATAACTTTTGTTTCCAGGAGTATGGCAAACTACATGATAGAGCCCAGGAGGCAATAACCTCAGAAGAACCTATAAGAAGAGCAGCTGCTGAGGTTTTGGCCAGAGTTGGGGAAGGAGGGAGTGTGTGTGTGTGTGTGTGTGTGTGTGTGTGTGTGTGTGTGTGTGTGTGTGTGTGGGGGGGGTGTCATTACACATCTCCACAACCTGAAGGGGATTGGGTTTTTATAGACACCCAGGGAGAGAAGATAAAAAGCTTTGGCCCCTGGGCCAGCCGAGTGGCTCAGTTTGTTAAGAGCTCACTCAAGAGTACAAGCTCTGAACAACAGGGTCGCTGGTTCGATTCCCGGCCTGAGCTGAGCTGCCAACAGGTGGCAGGAAGGGTCAGCTAAAAAAAAAAACAACAAAAAAAAAACTTGGGGCCTCAATAGGAGGCATCCTTAGTGAAAAGGGAGCCTGGCTGAATCATCCACAGGCAAATGGAAACAATGTATTAGCAAGTTTGTCTGCAGGTCAGCTTGGGCTCTGGGTGGGAAAACAAAACAAAAGAAAAGCATCCCTCCAGAGAATTCAAATCACAGGCAGACCTTCACTCAGGCTTGCTGTTTGAATTTATACTTCTTATATGCCCAGCATGAACCATGTTACCAAATGAACTCCCAACCCTCTATAAAAACTCTCCTCTTCACTGTTGCTGTGAAAACACTCTGACCTCTCTAATGGCAATTATCAAAAGCTAAAACAATATAAGTATCTGTTCTCCTCATAAATTAAACCAGGCTGTAATGTTTTTCTAAACCTTACTTTTAACTTAACAAGATTTAAAAAATAAAGTTTTAATCATCTTGCAATGTTCAAAATAATTTTTTAAGTCCTAAATAAACCTGAGCGCATAGTGGATTGATTTTCTCATACAAGCCCTCTTGTCAATACTACTGACACCCAATAATGTATCAGCCCCATGGGCTAAGGATCTTGAAAAAAGTATCTGAATTTTACTGGGCAGAGCACAGGGTGTGACATCATAAAAATTAAGATTAGGCAGATCAGCCTGATAGAAGCATATAAAATAGACCTGAAAGGGGAGATTTACGTCAGGCTACTAATCAAACAACAATTTCAATTGTGGGTGTGAAGTGGAAAGGCTCTTACTAGGATTAGGATGGTGGTCATAGGAAAATAAAAAAAGATGATTTGGGAGTTAACTGAGAAAAGAAAACACAAAATTAGTATCTGAACTGTGTGATAAGGAGGAAAGGGGAAGGGAAAAAAATGGCTTCAAGGCTGTGAGCCTAAGTCACTTAAATAAAATCACAAGGGCATGGGAAGGGAGATGATAACTTTAGTTTCAGACAACAGGAATTTGAAATGACACAGAAAAACCCAAATGATTAAAAAAAAATGATATGGATTGGTTAGATATCATGGCAATAGCTGAAGGTCTATTAATAGATGAAGTTTGTAGCCAGCCTCCAAGATGGCTCCTAGTGATGCCCACCTCCTGGCATTTACATCCTTGTGTTTGCCCCGCCCACATCACACCAGGTTTGGTATAGCAAAAGTGATTGTGTGTCATTTCCAAGATTAGGTTATTGAAGACACTGAGCTAGCCATTTTGGTTGCTCTCTGTCTGGGGAAGGCAGCTACCATGCTGTAAGCAGTCATTACTATAGCGAGGCATACATGAGGGGAAACTGAGGCCTCTCGTCAACTGTCATCAAAGAAGTGAAGCCTGTCAACAACCTTGAGACGGAGCTTGAAAGCACATCGTACAGTCCAGTCAAACCTTCAGGTAACTGCAGGCCCATCTGATACCTCAAGTGCAATCTCATGAGAGACATAGAGCCAGAACCAGCCAGTAAGCCACCTCCTGAAACTATGTGAGGTAATACATGTTTGTCGTGTAAGTTGCTAAGTTTGGCTTAATTTGTTACACAGCCAATAGGTAACGAATACAAAGCATATGTGTCAAATTATACAGAGAAAAAATAGTTCAGAATTAAACCTTAGTACATATAAAAAGGGGCAAGAAAAAGAAAAGTATCCATTTGCATTCTATCAGCAATAGCTGAAAGGATAAAAATGTTTCTTCTGTACCTCTGCAAATATTACTTTTCCTGTAGCTCTCAATCACCAAAAATATTACATATGAGCCTGCACATATGGCATTATTTAACCTTTCCTTTTTGTGTCTAAACTCCAAGCATTTAATTTATAAAGTACATGGATGGTAACATTTGGTCTTCTTTCTCAACATGGTCAAATGCTTCCTTAACATTATAAAGTTGTTCAAAGTGTAGGCTGTTCATAATTCAGTTCCCTGAAAAAGTCACAAAGCTGTCTTATAGCTTCATGGTTGTCACTTTCCATTTATGTGTGACTAGCTACTGCTGTAGCTAGTGCAGAAACCCAAAGTCAGTCAAATACTACTTAGTGAACTCCCACGTAAAATATGAAACTTGACTAGTAGCCAAGTAAAAAGTAAAAACTCAATGCAAGCGTTTAACACAGGGAAAGAAAAGTAAAAAATAACAATGACAATGACAACTAATATTTACTGAGCATTTTCGATGTGCCAAATGCATACACATGCATCGTATCATAACACTTCTATAAATACTAACATTACCCCCATTTTATAGATGGGAAAAACTGAAGTTTTTCAGAAGTGGAGTAGCTTGCCCAATATCACACTGCTAGCAAAGTGGAAGCGTTGGGACTAAAATCCAGGCAGTCTGACTCTAAAGCCTAGTTCTTTATCACTACTTGGTATTATTTCCCTCAAATGAATATGAAATGTCCAGAGGAGAAAATGATTGCTACGGGCTGAGTGAGCTAGAAACATCTGAAGAATGATGGAAGTCTTAAATTTGTACATCTTACGAGAAAATAGGGCATCCAAGCTATACAACTCCAGGACAGTCACCTCAAATACATTTTCATTTTCTTAACCTGAGTGACCTAGTAATAGGCAGTTCTCGAGAAGGGAAAGAACACTTCAAATGAAGAGACAATATGTGGAGCCATGACATCAGATGGCTTCCAGACTCCTGTAAGGGCTGCCTAGGTCTACTGGGGTCAGGGTGCCATGTCCTTGTTTCTCGCCCTATGCTGAGCACAGCGACACGCTACAAAGCCGGGAAGGTGAGTAGGGCTCAGGCTGCCCATGCGTTAGAAAAACAAAGCAAAACACTACTCTCGCTTTCATAAGCGTTGCTAAAAAAACAGTAATACGAAGAACATCTCTACATGTTCTATTGAATTGTCCATTGCATTATGTAATGTCTTTTGTATAAGTGCCCACACAATGATTTAAGAAAAAAGAAATCACTCTCCTCTTGACAAAGCTGGTTTGTTTCCTTTCAACAAACAATGAGACTTATATAACCCTTTCTTTCCCACATTTTTGTCTCGCCTTCCAGGAAGTACAAAGATAAATTTCATGCTTAGAGTACCAGTGTTGGCTGAGGTTTCTAGTATATGTATTTTTTCACCTCCTATTTTAATAGGTTTATTGGGCATATATCTTTTATTGTGAGCTATTTTAAATCCTTTTAAAAATGTAAGCAAAACATAAATTATGAATAGAATAAGGCCATCGTCCCTGCCCTCTACATAAAATCTGTTCTCTACCACAATGAATGACTAGAAACCTAAGAGTCGATCCAGAATCCTTCCTTTCCTTTAATCAATAACTGAATTCGGTCGATTTAACCACCTTAAGGAGTATTTGGTGTACTCTTCCTGCTCTATATCACCAGGACACTGCCTTGGTTTAGCCTGGTGTTTTGTAAATGCTTCCATAAGTCATCTCCCTGCCTTCAGTCACAACATCCTCTGTCCATAAATCCTCATTAGTTCATTTCCTCCATACTACCAGAAAGCTTTCTAACATGAAAATGTCCATCTTTCATCTGGTTCAAAATTCCTCAATCTCTGATGTATAGGCTAATACCCAAAGTCATGCATATAACATGTCGGACCATGTACCATCTGGTTGGCTTCTCCATATTTATTTGGCCTTATCTCACCCACTCCCTTCCCCCCATGGTGACGCTCCAGAAACACCTCCTCCCTCAGGGCTGCCATCGCAGTACATAGTACATCATTTACCCAGCTGTTCACACTCCAGACGTTGGAGTTACCCATGACTCTTCTGTCCATCACATCCACATTCAAACGATCAGCAAATCCTATCAGCTCCGCCTTGACAATATAACCAAATGCAACCTCTTCCCATCACCTCAAATGCTACCAACCAGTCTAAGTCACCATCATCTATCACCTGAACCACTGCAACGGCCTCCTTAACTGGTCTCTCTGGCTTCACTTTCATACCTCCTAAAACCTATTCTCTATACAAGAGCCACCAGTCCTTCTTTTAAAATATAAACGAGATCATGTCACCACCCTACACAATACCTTCCACTAGACCCCTATCACACTTAGAACACGATCCAAAATGCCTGTCTTTGCCTAGAAGGCATACCTGCTTTGGCTCTTCTCTTTGCCAAGAATGCCCTTCTCCCAGATAGCCACATAGCTGGGCCCTCATTTCATGGCAATCTGTGCTCCAGTGTTACTTCCTTAGAGGGACGTCCTGACCCCCTATCAGTAGTTCTCCACTGGAAGCCATGTTGACCCTTCAAAGGACATTTGGCAATGCCTGGAGACATTTTTGGTTGTCACAGTAGGGGAAGAAGGGATCTATTGGCATCTAACAGGTAGAAGCTGGGGATTCTGCTAAACACTCTCTACAATGCACGGGACAGCCCCCACTCCCAAAAGAGAATTATCAACAATTATCCAGCCCAAAATGTCAACAGCATCTGCCTTCTCTAAAATATACCTCCATTGGTCTCCCAACCTTTCCTCTGCTTTGTCATTTTCTTCATAACTACCACTACCTGACATTATATATCTTTGCTCATTTGTTTATGGTTTCACTCACTAGGCAGAGGTATGTCCCCCTTACTAGAATATAAGCGCCATGAGGGCAGACTTCTGACTTATTTGCACATGGCTGTATCCCCTGGGCTTAGAAGAACGCCTGGCATATAGCCAGCATTCAGTAAATATTTATTGAAAGAGCATAAATGGATAAACGGTATTTCCAACAAAGCTGAACTATTGGTACCCACCAAACACCCCAGGTTCTCTCAGGGTTTTATGCCACCAGCTATAGAAAATTGTGGGACATTATGAAATTTGAAGTCACTTTGGTTTGTCTGTGGTAGAGTACAGGCGCGTGCTAATTTTTATTTCCATTTCCTACGTGGTAACAGTAAGCTAATATGCCACCAGAAGGTGGAGTCCACGCCTCATGCCCCTCTTATCTCTTGCATTGGCTCTGTATCTCTCACATTTCAATGGCTGATGGCAAAAGTGGTCATCTACTATCCTGCCCAGTGAAAGAGTTCAATGTTTTAGATTAAGGACTTGAGCGAAGAGAAGTTCAATGTTCCTAGAAGCTAATCAGGCCTTTAATGTCCCAGGTAGCTGTATAACCACAGGGCTAAAGCACAGTACGCAACTTTACTCAAAATAAGACAATAATTTGTCATCATATCCAAAGCAATAAAACTGGCATAAATAGGCTTCGATATCCACACCCACATACCTGCTTGTTTAGCTTCAATACAGGCAATATTTATTTCTTCCTTCAAATCCCAGTTTTCGTTGGCTATCGCTTCCCCTACTTTAACAAATCTTCCAACTGCCAGGTTGACGGCTTGTCCTACACGCTGAATTGCTTGCAGAGTTTTATCAGACTTTTTGGTATTATCTTTATGATTAATAAGTGTGGTGATCTAAAAATAAAAGATAAAAGCAACTTGTTGAAATTTTATCTCCATTTAAGATTTTTTTATTTTTTTAAATCTACATCACAAAGGCCAAGGGAATTTCAGCCTGGCATAGCGGACTACTCTCATAGACTAAATCGATAGTTTAACCCAGAGGCAACCAGCAAAGCGTCCCACATCTCTCCTCAGGACACTGGTTCCATAAAAACAGTTCCCCATTTACCCAAGAACAACCACCTGGGGCACACAGCTCCAGAAGCCCTCCAGGTAATTCAACACATCTTAAAGACAGGACAAAAGTGGGGGAGGATGGACAGTTACAGTCCAACAATACACAGAAGGTCAAAGCAGGCCAGGTCTAGCTTTCTCTCCCCTGACTTGAGCTGCTATGAGGGAAGGAGAGACAGCATCTTCTTCCCGTGGCATCCCACTCCGTTGCCTAGCACAAGGGCACAGCTTGTACAAAATGGTATGTGTGCCACACCTGTGTGCTGAATGAACTAGGTCCTGAGCATGTCCATTATAAGTTATGTTTTATATTAATACTTCTCTAAATTTTGTTGTAGCCTCAAAGTAAATGAAATACCAAGAGTTTGAACACTTGATTCCAGGCCCTGAAAATAAAATACAAAAAGTGACAAGTTAAGCTGGTTGAAACAAATATAAATCTCCGAAAATGTCCTACAAAATTAGCACATGAACTTTGCGGTCAAATAGAAATATTTCAAGAATGTTACATGAAAACTATAGATCCCAAATAGTACGTAAACTATAGATCCCAAATAGTACACGTCCATTGAGCATAATTTTGAAATAGCTTATATAAGTATATTAAGAAAGACCAGAATACAGAATTAAGAGAAGAGGAAAGGAATCGCTCTTTGAACAACTATTGGATTTCAGAAAAGTCATGACATATTTTCTCTATGCTTTTCAAAAGTCATTTATTTATATAAAGAACAAAGATCAATCAATGACATATTGCCTGTATTGTTCAATAACCTTTTGCCATCTTTCAGTGAGCTTCATAATACCTCATTCATTGATGGACCTGTCTTTATTTGTGAAAAACTGAACAAGGTGCTGATTTACAACCTCATCTGAATTGAACGTTATACCACACAAGGAGTTTTGAAGAGAGTGAAACAAGTGGAAGTCTGACGGTGCAAGGTCAGGCAAGTATGGTGAGTGTGGCAACACATCCCATCCAAGCTCCAATAATTTTTTTTTTTAAGATTTTTTTATTGGGGAATCGGGGAATGGGAACAGCACTGGGGAATTGGGGGAAGGGGAACAGACAAGTTGCTGTCCTTTTGTTCTTCAGTCTAGTTGTGGAGGACGTTGCTTCAATGGCCCAAGTTGGCACCATCATTGCGCTCTTCCCGGGTGAGGAAGATCAGTCGCCGGCTTCTGGACAGCCGCTCACTACGGCTGCTGGCCGCTCACGCTGGCTGCTGGCTACACACGGTAGCCCATTGCAACCCACTGTAGCAGGGGCTGCAGCCTATGCCGCTGCCGGCTATTCATGGCAGCCCAGCTCCAGGTTGAGCTGTTGTTCAGCATCTTAGCTGTAGAGGGCAGTGTCACTGGCCCTCCTGTGTGGGATCCGAACCGGGGCCCTCTGGCGTCCCAAGCCAGCTCTTAACCAATACACGACACCTTTAAAATCCCACCACACTGAGAGCATAACCTTCCTCTGATGAATGTCTGCTTTTGATGTTGTTTGAGGTGAATCATCACGTCGGGACCAAGACTGTTTGTGCACCACAGTGTTGTAAACAATCCACTTCTCATCACCAGTTATTAGTCACTTCAAAAAAGGATCATTTTCCTCATGTTTAATGAGCATATTGCATATGTTTATATGCACTGTCAAATGAACTTCTTTGAGTTTATGCAGAACCCAAATATCGAGCTTGCTTATGTATCCCAGCTTCTTCAGGTGGATGTGAACACTTGAATGACGGATGTTCAATGTTCCTGCAATCTCTCATGTCGTGTAACGTGGTTTGACTTGATCAATGCCTTTATTTTGTTGTCATCAACCTCGGTGGGTCTCCCTGACCGAGGAGCGTCGTTGAGATCAAAATCATCAGCACGGAATTTCATGAACCATCGTTGACACTGACATTCTTGTAGAGCAATGTCACCGTAAACTTTATGCAACTTTTCACAAGCTTGATGCATGTTCTTCCCTTTATGGAAGTAAAATAGTAAAATATGGCAAAAGTGCACAATTTGGTCTTCAATTTTTAACTTGTAAAATCTCCAAAACTCAACCAAATCTCTCAATTTTTTTTTAAATTGAAGCTAGAACTGTCAGCTGTCAAATGACATAGGAATAACATAGATGCGAATGACTCTAGTACTTCCAAAAATGAACTAGTGCTATGTGTTGCAAACATGCATCATGACTTTTCCAAAGACCCAATACAATGTGCCAGGCACTTTATATGTACGGTATTAATAGTTTAGAATAAGAAAGGCCTGTGTTTGAGTCTTGGCTCAAATGACCTAGGGGCATTTTATTTAATGTCTCTAAATTGCCTCATGTATAATATTGTTTTTCAAATTTTCAATATATCCTAGATGCCAGGTCCTGCGGATGCATCAGTAGACAAGACCAACACTATCCTGCCCTCATTTGGTTAACTGTCTAGTAGAAAAACAATAATTCAATCATACAAAATATATTTGTTGCATACCTATCATATGCCAAGTAAAAATCTAGGCAATGATGAAATGAACAGGAAAGGACCATGCTCTTATGGAGTTTACATTCTAGTGTGGGGGGAGGCACATAATCACATAAATAGGTAAACAAAAAAATTTTAATATAAATGCCATACAAAATATTAAAACAGGATAATGTGATAAAAATGTATCTGTGTAGCTATGTGAAATTAGCTGATCTTCCTTCATGAGAAGATGCTATTTAAACTGAAATTTAAATGATATTAAGTAGCCAGGCTGGCAAACATCATGGGATAAAGCATTCGAGGGAGAAGAAATAATTGTTTGGGGCGGGGGTGCGGGGGGTAGGCAGGCATAAGGAATGAGGTAAGATGTGGTTAAAGAATGGTGGGCAAGACGGCAAGTGTAGAACCAATATCCAACAGGTAGGCATGGACCAGCCACGTAAGGCTATGAATTGGAATAAAGAGTTTGTATTTTCCTCCAAGTGTGATAGGAAGTCACTTAATGGTGATATAATCTCTGTACTGGTTTTTACGTGTGTCCAGGAATTTTGATATTTCTCCTTTCAAGGGGTGGCGCCTCATTTGCCTCCCTTTAAGTACGGGTTGAACTTAGCGACTCACTTCTAATGAACAGAACCAAGTGGAAGCAATGGTGTACTTCTCAGGGTAGGTCATCAAACACATTGTGACTTCCATCTCACACAGCCTCTCTGGGATCAATCGCTGTGGGAGAAAACCGGCTACTGCACTGTGAAGGACACGTTAGCAGTCCTATGGAGAGTTCCAAAAGGTAAGAAACTGAGGCCTCTGGCCAAAAGAGACGGGAGAGCGGAGGCCTCCCTCCTCCTGCCAGTGGTGAAATGAGAGAGCTCGGGAACAGGTTCTCCAGCCTAACTCATGCATTTGGGTTACTATGGCCCCAGCCAACATCTCGATTTCAATCTCGCGAGACCTTCATTTACAACCACCAGTTAAACTACTCCAGAATTCGTGACCCAAAGAAACTGTGAGATGATAAATGTTTACTGTCCTAAGGCACTATATTTGGGGTAACTTGTTATGCATCAGTAGATAACTAATACATATTTGGTTCCTGGAACTGGGGCAATGCTGTAACAAAACCTAAAATATGGGAGTGGCTTTGAAATTGAGCAGTGGAAGCGGAACGAACTTTGAGGCATTAGCAAAAGATAGATGAGCGCTGAAGAAACTTTGTAGAAGCGTGATGACCATTGGGGAGGCTATGTGTGAAGACTGAAAGAAAAGTGAGAAAAGTTTTTTTGGAAACTGGAAAAAAAGGGATCCTTGTTATGTGTTGGCAGGAAGTCATTCTCAGTAATGTGGAAAAGAGAAAATACATCTAATGAAACGGGTGATCTAGCAAAGAAGATTTCAAGGCAGATTTTAAAGGTGCCACCTGGTTTCTTCTTGCTTATAGTAAAATGGAAAGGGACGGGCAGAAGCTAAACAAAACACTATTAAATAAAAAGAAGCCAGGACTGACTAGATTTGAACATCCTTAGCTTCTCCAGAGGGCAAGTGATGCTCAAGTTAACATGGCTTCCAGGCAAAAATAAAATCCAGGGAACTGTCAGAAAAGCAAGGTCTAAAGATGAAGCTAATAGTATGATTATAAGATTTTATGTTAAGATCTCAGAAAGATTCAAACTGGTGTTCCACAGATCCATTCTGTTAAACAGTTCTCCTAAGAAGCTTAAAGGTTATCTCCCAAGAATCCCAGCAGCAGCCCAAGTTAGAGAAAGGCTTATCATAGAGACTTGTGGGTATGGTTTGTCTAATGGAGTGAGCCCAATCAGATTCACAAGAGACCCATAAAAATGTTAAGATAATTATATTGGCAGAAACACCACCAGCTTGGACTAAAAGCGATAGATAAGTATAAAGTGAAAAGATGCTTTTGAATCCCCCAAACTTCCAAAGTCAGGGAGCAGGCTGAGCAACTATGAAGCTGCAAACATAGGCTACCTATCATGAAAAAGGATGACTCATAGGGCAGTACTAAAAGCCATGAAGAATTACTCCCAGTCCTTGAGTCTTAATCAAGAAACTGCTAACCTGTATCTGGGTAGATTTCAGAATGCTATAAACTAGTGGCTCCTCTTTTCCCCAGTTTCAAACAGAAGTATATAGCATACTTTATTTTTGAACAGAAGTATGTAGGTTATCCTATGCCTCTATCTTCATGGGTTTGGGGAGGGGGTTCTTTTTTTTTCTCTTTTAACAAACTGTCTGCAGTGGTTATCCTAAGCCTGTCCTACCACTGTTAAGTTGGGTGTTTGGAAAGCAGATAACTTGTCTCTTTAGTTCACAGGACTTCAAACCATGAAGAACTATACTTAAGAAACTACCACATACAAGAAGCCTCATCTGAATCATTTTTAGATGCCAACATCTTGGATTTCCAGCTAATGTCATAAAGGGATGAGAGTTTGGAGAGGGTTGGAGTGGGGGTTGTTTGCAGATGAGAAAAATGAATGCAAACAATTTGTGGTCAGAGGGTGGAGTGTGGTGGTTTTAAAATATTTTCACAAATTCTTTGCTATTTCTCCCATCGACAGGTGGAGACTTATTCCCCTCTCCTTGAGTATGGGCTGAACTTATAACTAATAGAGTAAAGCAGAAGTGATGGTATGCTACTCTTGAGGGCAGCTCATAAAGACACTCCATCTTTCACTGTCTGAGATTATTCACTCTAGGGGAAGCCAGTTGCCACATCGTGAAGACAACTGACCAGCCTGATGCAGAGGCTGACATGACTAAGAACTGAGGCCTCTGTGCAGCAGTCAGCATGGATCTGAGGCCTCCTGCCAGCGGACACCTGAGTGGTCTAGAACCACCCAGGTGAGCCACTCCCAAATTCCTGACACACAGAAACCAAGATAATACATGTTTGTTGTTTCAAACCACAATTTGGGGGATAATTTATTTTCAGCAGTAAATAACTAATACAATCCCAAGTGTATATTTTTAAAAAGAGCACTCTCTTCTGGAGGAAAAGAAAATTGCTAAATTGGCAAAAGTAGAAGCAGGGAGACCAGTTAGGAAGCTGTTGCATAGTCCAGGTATTAGATGATGTTGGCTTGAAACAAGGTGGCAATAGTCAAGATGGAGGAAAATGGACAAATTGAGGAATGTCTTAAATACATATGACCTGCTTAATGAATTAGGTTGGTGTTGTCAAAGATAACCTCTAAATTTGTGGCAAGAGAAATGGGGTGCATTGACATAACATTAACATCTCTATGTGGCAGGCACAAAAAAGTGTTTTGCATCAATAACCTAATTTACTCCTCACAATCTTAGGACACAGGCACTACTTTTCCTCCGTTTTACAGATAAGGAAATTGATATTCAAAGGTGCCTGTTTAAGGTCACATAGCTATTAAGTGGTGAAGCCAAGATTCAGAGTCAGATAATTTGACTCTGAGGCCATACTTTTTTTTTCCAGCTTTACTAAGAGATATAACTGACATATTGGGTTGTCAGAAAAGTCATGACGTATTTCGTCTATGTTTTTCAAAGGTCATTTATTTATATAAAGAACAGAGATCAATCAATGATATATTGCTCATTTTGTTTGATAACATTTTGCAATCTTTCAGTGAGCTTCATAATTCCTCGTTCACAGAAGGACCTGTCTTAATTTGTGAAAAACTGAACAAGGTGCTGATTTACAGCCTCATCTGAATTGAATGTTATACCACGCAAAGCATTTTGAAGAGAGCGAAACAAGTGCAAGTCTGACGATGCAAGGTCAGGCGAGTATGGTGGGTGTGGCAACACATCCCATCCAAGCTCCAATAATTTTTGACAGGTGATCAAACTTGTGTGTGGTCTCGCGTTGTCGCAATGGAATGCAACTCCTTTACAATTAACAAGCTCTGGACGTTTCTGGATGATGGATTCATTCAAACTGTCCAATTGCTGACAGTACACATTCAAATTGATTGTTTGGTTCCTTAATAGGAGCTCAAAAAACACGACACCTTTAAAATCCCACCACACTGAGAGCATAACCTTCCTCTGATGAATGTCTGCTTTCGATGTCGTTTGAGGTGAATCATCACTTCAGGACCAAGACCCTTTGCATACCACATTGTTGTCAACAATCCAATTCTCATCACCAGTTATCAGTCGTTTCAAGAAAGGAGCATTTTCCTCACGTTTATTGAGCATATTGCAGATGTTTATACGCGCCGTCAAATGAACTTCTTGGAGTTCATGCGGAACCCAAATATCGAGCTTGCTTATGTATCCCAGCTTCTTCAGGTGGACATGAATGCTTGAATGATGGATGTTCAATGTTCCTGCAATCTCTCGTGTCATGTAACGTGGGTTTGACTCAATCAATGCCTTTATTTTGTCGTCATCAACCTCAGTGGGTCTCCCTGACCGAGGAGCAATGTTGAGATCAAAATCACCAGCACAGAATTTCATGAACCATCGTTGACACTGACATTCTTGTAGAGCAATGTCACCATAAACTTTATGCAACTTTTCACAAGCTTGACGTGCGTTCTTCCCTTTATGGAAGTAAAACAGTAAAATATGGCAAAAATGCAGTTTGGTCTTGCATATTCAACTTGTTGTAAAATCTCCAAAACTCAACCAAATCGCTCAGTGTTTTTTTAAAATGAAGCTAGAACTGTCAGCTGTCAAATGACATAGCAAGAACATAGGTGCGAATGACTCTAGTACTTCCAAAAATGAACTAGTGCCGTGTGTTGCAAACATGCGTCATGACTTTTACGACAACCCAACGTAACATTATGGAAGTTTGTGTATGTGACGATGTGGTACATGTATATACTGCAAATGCTTCCAAAATATATTGCAAATATTACCACAGTACGGTTAGTTAACACCTCCATCACCTGACATATTTTTTTTTCTTTTGGATCTACTCTCTTAGCCACTTTCAAGTATATAATACAGTACTGTTAACTATAGTCACTATGCTGTACATTAGAACCCCAGAACTTATTCATCTTATAACTGGAAATGTATACCCTTTGACCAACATCTCCACATTTTCCCTACCACCCAGCCCCTGGCAACCACCATTCTACACTCTTTTTTGTGAGCTTGGCTTTTTTGGTTTCCACATATAAGTGAGATCAAACGGTGTTTGCCTTTTCTGTCTGACATGTCACTGAGCATACTGCCCTCAAGGTCCACCCACGTTGTCGCAAATGGCAGGATTTCTTACTTTCTCATGGCTAATATTCCATTGTATATTTATGCCACATTTTCTTTATCCATTCATCCAGAGAGGGACATTTAAGTTGTTCCCATACCTTGGCTATTGTGACTAATGCTGCAATGAACACAGGAGTGCAGATATCTCTTCAAAATCCTGATTTCATTTCTTTTGAATATATACCCAGAAGTGGGGTTACCAGATCATATTGTAGCTCTTTTTTTTTTTTCTTCAGGAACCTCCATACTGTTTTTCATAGTTGGCTGTACCAATTTACATTCCTACCGTAAGTGCACAAGGGAAAAACGTCCCTTTTTTCCACATCCTGGCCAACACACATCTTTTGATAATAGCCTATCCTAACAGGTGTGAAATGATATCTTATTGTGGTTTTAATTTGCATTTCCCTGATGATTAGTGATGTTGAACATCTTTTCATGTATCTGTTGGCCATAATGTATGTCTTCTTTAAAACGTGTATTTAGTGCCTCTGCCCAT